ACCCAACCCCAGCTCTAACTCCACACTAACCCTACACCCAACCCCAGCTCTAACTCCAACCCTGACCCTACACCCAACCCCAGCTCTAACTCCAATCCTAACCCTAAACCCAACCCCAGCTCTAACTCCAACCCTAACCCTAAACCCTAAAACCCCAGCTCTAGCTCCAACCTAAGCCCAACACTTATCCCACACTGATCATAACAATAATCCCCACCTATCTAACCCCATCCACAACCTTAACTCCAACTCTAACCCTAACCATCACCCCAACCCTAACCACAACCCTAATACTAAACTTTATTCCAACCCCAGCCCTAACCATAAACCTAACCTTAATCCTACCTAACCCCAATCCCAACCCCAACCCCAACCCTGACCCCGACTCTTGAAGGGCTGCACAGGGCAGGAACTCACTGAGCAGTGGGGGCAGCCAGTTCACGTTGACCTCACAGTGGGAGTCGAGGAAGGTCAGTACCTCCCCTCTGGCCATTGACGCACCCAGCAGTCGGGTCCGGATGAGCCCTTCCCTTTTCTTGGTGCGAACGATCCTCACTTGGGAAAACCGGGCCATGTATTCTTCTAACTTATCCTTTAAGTGGTCTAGGAAGGAAGAGAGAGGGTACAGAGCATGAGCAGCTGCAGAATTACCCAGCCATGGTCGCTGGTGCTGGGCAGGGAATGTAAATGACAGATATCAGCGCGGTGTTTTCAAAGTCCCCGTCTTTCCCTCCTGCATCTAGAAGGGAAGTGCTGATAAGAAGATGTTACATCCGGAGGTTTTTAGGCCTCAGGCTTCCTCAAATGCTTCCTATGCTGCAAACATTGCCTTTGGTTTGAACACAGGATAAATCACTGAAGCCCCCGAGCTCCACGAGGCAGGGGCCGCTGGCCCCCAGCCACCTGTTCAACTCCAGCCTGCTCTGCAAGGCGGGCTCCCCTCACCCCTGCCTGCTGGCCAAAGTCAGGCTTTGCCTCATATTCTGAGTGCTGGAGACGCTGCATGTGAAACAACAGGGGAGAAAAATAGCTGTCAAATCCACAAGAAGCACACAGATTTTCAACCCCACCAGGTCACAGCAAGCTGTAAGGAAGTTCAGCATCTGGCTTCTTTCAAAGTGGTAAAGGAGGCTGACTCAGAGTTGGGCAGACACAGCCAGGGGAGGCAGGTGCAATATGAATGCCATACTGTCGTTTCAAACTTAGGTATTCAAGGTTTGGAAATATTTCTTAGCTATTTAAATTCGGAAATGTTTCCCTCCCTAATTGAAAATAAACAGTGGGGACAAAATATAATTAGATAACTTACAAAATAAAACATTTCCTACAGGCTGTGATCAAATGCCTCAATCTCTCTGTTCATTTTATGCCAAGTAAGACCATTTGGTAGCTTTCTGTGGGACATGCACTTGGTTTTTTTTTGTCATTGTTGTTGTTAAGACAGAATCTCACTCTGTCACCCTGGGTAGAGTGTCATGGTGTCATAGCTCACAGCAACCTCAAACTCCTGGCTCAAGCGATCCTCCTGTCTCAGCCTCCCAAGTAGCTGAGACTACAGCTTTTAGTAGCTGTGCAGTTTCACTCTTGCTCAGGTTGGTCTCACACTCCTGACCTCAAGTGATCCTACTGCCCCAGCCTCCCAGAGTGTGGGATCCCAGGCCTGAGTAGCCCTCGAGGCCTGGAATAGGCTCTTGCATATGTCACATCTTTTGCTATCTGCTTTCACTCTTCTCGTGTCTAAGAGTGATGAGGCTTCATTGGAATTTCTGACAGGTGTAACCTACTAACCCAAGTTAACAGATGTCAGAGTTACTTTGTATTGGAGTTTCTCTGTACTTATGGGTTTATTCTTATTTCTTATTTTCAATGTAGTTAAAAAATCTTAATTTCCAGTTTTTTCTTGATGTCTCTATAACTATGTTTTACAAATGTGTCATTTGCAATAATATCTGGCTTTCTAATTTTCAACTAACAAAGCATACAGGTGGAATTTTTCACAAGGGTGTTTTAGCTAAAAATAAGTTCCCTTCTATTTTGTGCTTTCTGTAACAAATAGACATGCAGACATTGAACTATGAAAAGCAAAGAGTCCAGGGTTTGGACTTGGCGTGGCCCTGGTGGGGAGACCTGTGACAGAGACATACGCACACAGGTCATCTAAACCCTCTGGGGACTTGGGGGATTGGCTCGTCCTCTTTTTTTTTTTTTTTTTTTTTTTGGGGGGGCCCCAAGCTATCCCCCTGGGTAGAGTGCCATGGCATCACACTCACAGCAACCTCCAACTCCTGGGCTCAAGCGAGTCTCCTGCCTCAGCCTCCCAAGTAGCTGGGACTACAGGCGCCCGCCACAACGCCTGGCCATTTTTTGGTTGCAGCCATCATTGTTGTTTGGCGGGCCCGGGCTGGGGATTCGAACCCGCCACCTTAGGTGTATGTGGCTGGTGCCTTAGCCGGTTGAGCCACAGGCGCCGAGCCGGCTCGTCCTCTTAATTAATGATTTTCAACCAGTGTCCCACGAGAGGATTTTAAGTGTGCCACAAAAATTTTAAAGATCCATTAATTCAATTCTTTTGGAAAGAAGTTCAATATATAGTAAGAATATTCTTTCTTTTATTCTTTTTTCTTTTTTTGATCAACATAATTAAGTGTGCCATGGAAGTTTAATCATAGATTCAAGGGTTGGAAAACACTGTCTTTGCGTGTGATGGACAGTCAAACTTCGATGTAGGCTTTGGTTAAAGATGTGTCAGAATCCTTCCACAAACGTTTACATACTAAATCAGTAACTGGAGACTCTAGTCAGTCACCTATACTCATGAAGAGACACAGTGTATTTTTAATCTGAAAAAATGCCTTTGAATGCTAAGCCTGAAAGACCAAAAACACAGACTTTTCTATTTCTTGGTGAAATGTTGGTACTTCATCAGGGGTCTACTAAATATAAAGACAAAAGTTTTGGGAAGCAGTAAATGAACACACACCATGGCAGCCCAACCCATCAGCTACTTCTAGGGTCTCTCTCCTTGTACTCAAACAAGTGTGCCATGCAGAAAGCCTGCTTCCTGTCTTCCCTGGGCTGCCTGCTCCTGGCTCTCTCTTGCCCAAGCTATGGAGCAGGATTCTAAAGGACTTTACCAGACAGTGTCAATGGACACACTAGCTCAATCAAAGGCATTTGATCAGTGATCAGCATGAGAATGCACTTTGTGTCCTAGCAGTATCCTGTTCTAGAAAGATTTCTCACAGCAATGAACGGTTGAGAAAATTTTATAATCTCATTACTGTAACGTATTCAGGCGCTAAGTCTTTCCACGTCACTAAAAGTACAAGGCAGGATTCTGTAGGTTCATTTGTGAATTGTTTTTTGTGGCTCACGGGAGGTATTGTCTCATGACCTGTGTCTTGACCATCACTGAGTACTAAAAGTAGGTCACAAACATTTGTTCAGTTCACCAGAGTTGTGTTCCCCCCACTTTCTTTTTTTTCCAAAAAAAATTTTGCTTTATTGTTTCAGGATCATTGAGGGTACACAGAATCAGGTTACGCTGTTTGCATCTGTTAGGTAGAGTCCCTCTTGAGCTGTGTCCCGCCCCCAACAGGTGTGCTCTACACTGTAACCCCCACCCCTCCTCCCTCTCCCTGCTCCCTTGAATTGATTTGCGTTTTTCTCTAATGTGCCAGTAGACTATCTAATACACACCACATAAGAGAAACCCCCACTTTTGTTAAGCTTTATCATTCCTTTTGTTAATCCACCATGGTCCAAGATGTGCTTACTCCTTTCCTGAAGACCAAAGGGGCCTCTCGTGGGAGAAAAGAAGAGCAATTTTTTAGAACTGCCCTCGAGGAAGCAATTCTAGAATATTCTCATTTCCTGGGTGTTCCCAGGAAGTGGTCATCTGGGAGCAGTCTTCCCAACTTCAAATGGAGACTTCTCTATTTTTGGTTTATAGAAATTCTCTGGCACTCAGCAAGGGCTGTCTCTATGTGTTTTCTTTTCCTCTTGGTCCATTTTCTGACTGTGTATTTTTCTTCTACCAAAGCCCATTCCGATGCACTAAAATGATTGTATGGTGTGAATTCACTAAGCACACCAGGAGTCTGACGGCCTGGTGGAGTCTGAGAGATGTTTAGACCAAATCCTTCAGTTTGAACTTTATGGACTGAACTTGGTGGGGTTTCTGCTCTCTTAGAGGTCCAGAGGTTAGTTACCCCTAACTCACAATGAAGGCAGCTACCAACAGCCAAATCAGCAGACTGAATGCTCAAACAAGGGAGTTGCTGGAGATGGCCTTAAATTAAAAAAAGTTTAGCTTGTCTTCTGTCTGCACAATTTTTAGATTTACTTCTAAAATATTATTGAACGTGATTTTATATTATATTTAATTTGAGTGTAGAATCTTTGAAGAACACTTTTTTTTTTCTTTTTTTTGAGACACAGTCTCACTCAGTTGTCCTGGGCAAGCGCTGTGGTGTCATAGCTCACAGCAATCTCAAACTCCTGGGCTCAAACAATCCTCCTGCCTTAGCCTCCTGAGCAGCTAGGACTATAGGTGCCTACCACCATGCCTATTTTCTATTTTTAGTAGAGAGGGGGTCTCATGCTTGCTCAGACTGTTTGAACTCCTGAACTCAAGGGATTCTCTTGCCTCAGCTTCCCATAGTGCTGGGATTACAGGCATGAGCCACTGTGTCTGGCCTGAAGACTACTTTTAAAATCATATAATAATTCTAAATTCTAAACAATACCCAAAGAACTTATGGTATTTTTATGAAACAGGCAGATTATCTAGTCAGTATGAGATATTTGTAGAACTTTTTTTTTCCTTTTCATCAGGGGTCCTAGACTATAAGTGGATGTATTACTGTTAAACCCCCCAAGTAGTGTTTCAGTAACCCAAGAAAGTGAACATAATTTCAAAAATACCAGTTTGTGCCAGGGGTTCATGTATCACTATATGGCAATAATGAAATACAAAGTTTCACTAAAATGAAATTTTGCTGTGCTGTGAGAGATACATTTAGGAGTTTTCTGTTACATATTTTTCTCTTCTTTCAGAAATTTCATTTATGCGTCATGAATTTATATGGAGACTGTACCATGTGTTGGTGAGTTTAGTGCTTAGGGTAGCAACTAAATTTTAATAACTCGCCCTTCCCTCCCAAAAAAGAAAAGAAAAAAATCACCTTTGGTGATTTACAGTTAAGAGTCAGAGACATGGGTTCTAATAACTCTCCTGCTGCCTGGCCCAGGGCTTTGGGTAGCCACTTCACACCAATTGACCTTGCTTTCCCCAGCTATAAGGTGGAGGGGATGCGATGGGTTGATCTGAGATATTCTTTCTATTTCTATGATTCTAGCAGTTCCCTTTTTAAGTTTTACTTGCCAAGTAGATCTCAGCTTATCAAATACTTAGTTTTTTGCTATAGACATCATTAATAGTTGTTATTTCAATGTTTTCCTTTGGCTATGTCTAAACACACATCACAGGTTTAGTCAAAACGCAAACTCAGAGACATTCTCCTTGGTCGGTGTGGCTCCTTCTGATCCCCTGCAGGTTGCTGCCTCTGCAATAGTCACTGATGTCAAAGTAATGACTTTGG